TATTGCTCGCCGATAATTTAAATGTGAGGTATGGGTACCATATCATAAAAAGGAATATATTGAGTTTGGAGCAGGTTGGCCGTCTAGCCTACCGAAAGGTAACTGGATAGAAATGAAAAAAAGTGACCAGAAACCAAGTGATCTTGATATCTTCTCGTTGGAATGTAGACATGATTAAAGATCTCATAGAATTTCAAATGAGAATTCTTCCTGTATATGGCAAATGAAGCGTGAACTGAGAAGCTAGGAAGCACTGGACAGCTTTTTCGACCTGGTTGGGTCTCATCAGCATGAAATAAGGTGATGAATGTTTCCAACCGAATCATAACCCTGGGGACTAGTGCTGAGATGAGCAGGGTCTGTGGCCCGCAACAAGCTCGCAAAGATGGGTTGTGCTATATCGTGTAAATGAAAAATGAAAAGCGGTCTGATTATCTGCTCAGTGGCGTAGTGGGTAGCATGCTTGCGTTCTGCCCATGAAGACCCGGGTTCGATCCCCAGTTGGGTCGATGGATTCGCACTGGTGATAAGACCTTATCAGGTCGAAACAGCTGTCAAGTGCTTCCTAGCTTTTCAGTTCACGCTTCATTTGCCATATACACGACGAATTCCCATTTGGAATTTAATCAAATCCTCCGTTACTCACATGACACTTAGAATTATTAGGGGCTATCAGGACAATGGGGATGATTGTGTCAAACGCATCTATCCACATAGTTCCTTTTCACATCGAGAGTGCATCTTGATGTGGTATGATGGCTTGCGCGCCTCCATGACCGTACGAGCTATACAGGTTTACTCCTCAGCCGCAGATACGATCGTGCCTGAAAGGTCAACGGGTAAACACCAGACGAAGTTCAGGTCAACTGCCTGGGCACATACTTCCTTCCTTTTTCTGTCAACTCTCTTTCCTGGAGGGATCACTTCAGTAAAGAACGTTGAAGGGCAGTCTACCGGTCAACTCCTCGCTAGGTGGACGTAGGAGTGGGTTACCTACCGACGGTGGAAGTAGTCTTTGCACTTCATTGGACAGCTACCGCCTGCCAAAGCTGGCCAGCCCACAACCAATGAAGTGCTGGCCCGTCCACGTTCCGCGTGTCTCATTGGATGCATGAAACTAAGGCTCAATCTCGAGCAGCGGACCGGTGATCAACGCACCAGCGAACAATGCACTGAACCGAAACCCAAAGACCTTGCTTAAAAGACCTCAAGAAGCTCCCACGGGAGTGCTTCGGTCACGCTCCTGCGTTGGATCCACGCCCCACTGCCTTGTGGGTCGGACTTTTTAGTCGAATGGTTCGCTTCAGGTTTCCCGAAGAATAACCCCTTCGTTGGTGTGGGTTACCGGGGAGTATGTTATGCCTCAAAGTCTTATGCACCCATTTAGAAAACCCTCTTTCTCATCTGTCCAATTCTTTTACTTCAAAATCGTACGAGATGCCCCTCTTTGCACCACCCACGGGATACCACTCAGCATTCAGCTAGTAAGGTCAACCACTCAGAAGCTGTCCGTTTTTTGGAACAAGAATCTTTTAAACGAACTGCAAGCTGCCTTAGAGTGAAACCTTTAATTTAGATGTATGCCGTGTCTTCAAACTACGCGTAGAAGACCCTATTTCAATCACCACCTTGCGATCCGACCCCATCCTCATGCTTCACTCTTCGTGTCAGACGATTCGGCATCCGAAGCTCGCGGTGTTGCTGGTGTCCGGATTGTGCTAAGTGTCAAGGCCGAGCGTTCATTTCTTGGCTAGATTCCTGTTAGTTATCGACTGCGCACTGTACTTCTCGACAGTTTTGTGTGGGTCAGAAGCTACAGAACGAAGTGTCGATGCTTATTCGTCGTCTCCATGTATTCATCGACTGATTGTGGTTCACCAGAAATGAAGGATGAATCTACGTAGACATCGCTTAATTGCTCCAAAGTGGTCACTGGGGACTTGAATACTCAAGTGGGATCCCTGGGCGAATCAATAAGGCCTCCTGGTTTACATGCAATCCTAACCAACTGACTGATAATGGAGAACGTCTAATCCAGCCCTGCGCTGACCACGAAAATGTTTCTGTCAAGCAGCAACTTCTCGCACAAGAAACGACATCGCCTCCCTCTTCACAGCGCTGGACTCAAATCGACCGCTGTCGAGGATCCATTGAAGACCGCTGCTCTTACTGGTCAACACCCGTAGACACGGACCATGCTCTGCTACGAGAGCGAGATTCTCCCTACGCCTGGTAAACAACCGCCAAAAAGCCATCGAAAACGGATGCCCACAATACAGTATCAGCAACGGTTGCAAATCGGCCTTCGAAGTGGAACTCTCCTATCGTCTCTCAGTCCAACCACCAGCCGGAGGACTCCCTGAACACTGGACGACAATCAAGGAAGCGATCCAAACTTCGATCGAAACAACGACAAATGCTGACGCACGATCAAATAAAAAACAGTGGATCTCCTCGATCTCAACTGCTCTGTTAGGCGCCCGCAAAGCCATTCCTTCTGATGCAAAATACGACAGCGCGCATATCCCTTAAACACCAGCTAATCAAGAGCCTGAGGAATGACCGCTAGAAGTGGTGGATAGGAAAGCATAGAGAGATGGAGATCGGTAATGGTTGCAATCTTTTTCTTTTAATTAGGAGCACAGGCTCAAAGAAAGTAGGCTTAAGTGAGGTAACTAAGGAGTCTGCCGGAACACTGATTCATATTCAGCAACGTCGTCTTGAACGTTGGGCAGAACATTTTAGGGCACAGTTTTGCTGGTTCCCATGGACGCAAGACCTTCATATACCCTCTTCAACTGTGCAAATACTGCCAGTGGTAATCGGTCCTCCATCTGAAATAGAGGTTACTCGGGAAATCAGTCACCTGAAAAGGTGTAAGGCCTCCGGCCCGGACGGGCTGTTCCAATCGGTTTTTAAGGATGGAGGTTCAGCCTTGGTTTTGGAGTTATCGAAACTCCTGGGCTCAGTGCGGGAGAGCGATCGGGTTCCAACGGAATAGTGTGAACCTGCCCTCGTACCGATTTAGAACAAAGGGGATATACCTCGTCTGAAGTATGCAGACGATATTGTGCTGCTAAGTGAAGATCCAGGTCGTTTGACGGCTTTCTTGGTTAGTTTGAGTGCCCACGTAGCCCTGTTCGGTATAAGTTTTGCACCTTCAAAGTGCGAAATGCTTCTACAAGATTGGGTTGGTCCAGCCTCCAACCTCACAATAACTGGGAAAGTAGTAGAGGAAGTAGACAAATTTTGCTATTTGGGCATGTATATCTTACCTAGCGAATGCTTCACAGATGAAGTGTCGGTAAGCATACAGAAGGCTTGATTGGCATTTGCAAATTGAGACTTCTGTTTCGCTGCCGCGACATCTGGCTGTCTCTGATGCGTCGAGTGTATGATGCAGCAGTTCGGCCAGTTCTGCTAAAAAGTTCAGAGATTTGGCCATTACAAGAACAAGATAAAAATAAACTGTCGGTGTCCAAACACCGTTGTCTACGCAGCATTGCACGAATCTGGTGGGGTAACCGGACTAGCAATGCTGAGGTTAGGCGCAGAGTTTTAGGTACCTGAGGTCACCTACTGAAACAAGTGATCGACCTCCATAGGTTATGTTGGTTGGGGCATGCGTTACGCATGTCACCAGATAGGTTGCCACGGCGCGCGATGTTTGCTGATGCAGGTAGTTGGTGGAGATCGGTCAAGAGCAGTGAAACTAAGACGTGGCACGAGGGCACAGAAACCTTAGCCAGGACACTGGGTCATATAGGTCCCGTTAGTCTCCCTGAATGGGGACTTCGGGATCATTGCAATCAATGGTTAGAGACACTGAATGATATGACTGCGTGTTGCAAACAGTGACGCTCATGCATCTACTCATTATTCTCGCAACCACAGTCAATATGAATTCGCTATCTTCTCATTGAATTTGCTCTCAACATTGCAATCTTCATCCTTCTCTTTTATTCAAACGGGCAGCTGAAAGACAGCAACCCAAACCGAACTATAAAAATGCATGAGTAATTGCTGTAAAAACTGAGCTTTTCTGTGAACTCATTAGTTACCT